CTTTTTCTTTGGTTATTTCCTGAAGTGAGTAAAGAATTTATGATCACTCTCTTTTTCTTTTCCTAAAGTAAGAATGCGCACCTTAAAAATTTGAACTAGTTAACCGGGTAAGGGAAATGATTGTGCAGTCAAAACCCTAGCCAATGGGGTGAGACACAGACTTGAGACTCATGTCAGGGATTAAAAACCCCAGTGAACTGCCCCCTCGGTGTGCTCACTGGCCTGTTCCTGTATGTACGGCTATGCACACACACACCCTCTTGCAGGAGTAAATTTTGCTTTGCCAAGGTAATTTAGTCTCACCAAGTTATCTTTTATGCAACGTCGGGATTCATTTCTAACAGCAAGACAATGGGGATCCAGATTCAAGAGTATAACTGAGTTCACAGAGCTCATTTTCTCAAAAATGTATTTTTTCATCTCTAGAATGATGCCGAAAGGAACCTTAGAAATCAGATGAATTCTAAGGTCCCTTTCAGCAATAAAATTCTATTCTATTCTAAAAAGACTATTCTAAAACGATTTTTTTAAAAAAAAGATAAACCCCAGTCTCTGGGGAAAATTTTTTTTAAAACATAGGTGGGACCTAATGTGTATCAGGTTGGGACAAGGCAGACGTTTTATTTCAAATTGAAAACGTTATCTGAAATCCCATTGTTCTCATTTTCAGACAATGGATACTTGGAGTTCAGCTGAGTCAATCGTGGAAAATATAGAAAGAGATGATTTTCTAAAAGGGATTTCTAAAAATCCTTTACTTATCAATTTTTAAGGTTATTAACAAAGTCAGTATCACATCCCATTCCAGAATATAAAGATTCTAATAATGAAGCTCTTTTTACTCATGAAAGTTTCCTTAGTTTTCTTTTAGGGCTTTCAGAATTGGGAACTACGTCTTGTTTAATCAATCACTGTGTTAACTGGGGCAATGAAATGGATTGAGTGTTTCAACATGCCTTGCAAATCAAGATCAAATTGATCACAGGACTCTTGATTTCATTGCCCCTTGGTCTATACCACTTTACAATGAGATACAGCGCTCCAGACAGGAAGAAAAATGTCTACATAAATATCAGAGTTCATCTCTTTTTCCAGTTTGCCTTTAATGTGAATCAAATTCTATGTAATTGTCACCCTTTTTATAGTTCCCCCTCATTTATCTACAACCCAGTTATTTCTCATAAGACTAGACATGTTCATGGTTCAGTCTCATGAAAAAGGAGTTAGAAGAACCATTTCTTGCTAACCTTTCAAAGTTTTTGATGATCTGAAAACAAGTCCATCTGAAGGTACTAGAGGGCTTCCAAACGTTCTTGGAAAAATGGAATTGAAAGATAATGGAATTTTACCAAAAA